GCTCCACCCAGGGAGTTTGGGAGTCTATACTACAGAGATGGCTCCATCCAGGGGAGTCTGGGAGTCTATACTACAGAGATGGCTCCACCCAGGGATCTGGGAGTCTTACTACAGAGATGGCTCCACCCAGGGGAGTCTGGGAGTCTATACTACAGAGATGGCTCCACCCGGTGAGTCTGGGAGTCTATACTACAGTGGCTCACCCAGGGAGTCTGGAGTCTTACTACAGAATGGCTCCACCCAGGGGAGTCTGGGAGTCTATACTACAGAGATGGCTCCACCCAGGGGAGTCTGGGAGTCTATACTACGAGATGGCTCCACCCAGGGGAGTTTGGGAGTCTATACTACAGAGATGGCTCCACCCAGGGGAGTCTGGGAGAGAGTTAATTTCTGCGGCATCTTCTGCCACATCACAGGACCTCTGTAGATGGAGAGATTATCACTCTCTCTCTTGTTGTCGCGCTCTGTAAGAGGTGAAGAGACAGGGAAAACTGGTCCCCTACCCACAATCCCAATAAATAATACCCACAATCCCAATAAATAATACCCACAATCCCAATAAATAATACCCACAATCCCAATAAATAATACCCACAATCCCAATAAATAATACCCACAATCCCAATAAATAATACCCACAATCCCAATAAATAATACCCACAATCCCAATCAATAATACCCACAATCCCAATAAATAATACCCACAATCCCAATAAATAATACCCACAATCCCAATCAATAATACCCACAATCCCAATCAATAATACCCACAATCCCAATAAACTCTCTCTCATGTAATCTCTGAAACTCGCTGCCTGGGTTGAGTAACTCTTTGGGGAGACATTGGTTTAGTTGGCAGGGAATATCAATACACTGAGGTCATGCACGGTCAGCCTCGGTCATCACAATGTGATTGATGTAGTATCTTGTTGTACGTACAGAGAACACTTCAGAACTGGAGGACGCACACTGACACAAAGAACAACTACTGTGGTGATCCACACACACACATACACACACACACACACACCACACACACACACACCCCACCACACACACACACACACACCCCAACACACACACCCCAACACACACACACACACACACACACACACACACACACACACACACACACACACACACACACACACACACACACACACACACACACACACACACACACACACACACCACACACACACATCACACACACACACCACACACACACACCACACACACACACCCCACCACACACACACCACACACACCTCCATAAAACCCCAACAGACAACCAGACTTGATTACAGAGTTTATTATAGTTTATGACATTATTTTACGAGTTTATTATTAAGACTTTTATTCGAGTGAACAATTAAAAACATGAAGATGAAACTAAAACAGACAGACATTCGTTATTTGATGATACATTACCTTTCCATGGAAACAGTAACCACGGAAAAGAACGTCCCCAAAACAACCAATAAACTGCTGCCTCTCTTCCGTAGCAGTATTCAGCCTGCTTCCCAAATGGCACCCCTGTTCCTTATTTAGTGCAGTACTTTCGACTAGGGCCCATAGGGCTCTGGTCAAACATAGTGCATAGTGTAGGGAATAGGGTCCCATTTGGGACGCACCTCAGTCATAATGAAAGATGTGGCATGCATTGAGGAGTAGAGGCAACAAGGCCAGTAATGGAGTCTCCCTGTGGTATCACTTATTTTACATAGCTAATAATGGAGTCTCCCTGTGGTATCACTTACTTTACATAGCTAATAAATGGAGTCTCCCTGTGGTATCACTTACTTTACCATAGCTAATAAATGGAGTCTCCCTGTGGGATCACTTACTTTACATAGCTAATAAATGGAGTCTCCCTGTGGGATCACTTACTTTACATAGCTAATAAATGGAGTCTCCCTGTGGGATCACTTACTTTACATAGCTAATAAATGGAGTCTCCCTGTGGAATCACTTACTTTACATAGCTAATAAATAGAGTCTCCCTGTGGTATCACTTACTTTACCATAGCTAATAAATGGAGTCTCCCTGTGGTATCACTTACTTTACCATAGCTAATAAATGGAGTCTCCCTGTGGGATCACTTACTTTACATAGCTAATAAATGGAGTCTCCCTGTGGGATCACTTACTTTACATAGCTAATAAATGGAGTCTCCCTGTGGGATCACTTACTTTACATAGCTAATAAATGGAGTCTCCCTGTGGTATCACTTACTTTACCATAGCTAATAAATGGAGTCTCCCTGTGGTATCACTTACTTTACCATAGCTAATAAATGGAGTCTCCCTGTGGTATCACTTACTTTACCATAGCTAATAAATGGAGTCTCCCTGTGGTATCACTTACTTTACCATAGCTAATAAATGGAGTCTCCCTGTGGTATCACTTACTTTACCATAGCTAATAAATGGAGTCTCCCTGTGGTATCATTTACTTTACATAGCTAATAAATGGAGTCTCCCTGTGGTATCACTTACTTTACATAGCTAATAAATGGAGTCTCCCTGTGGTATCACTTACTTTACATAGCTAATAATGGAGTCTCCCTGTGGTATCACTTACTTTACATAGCTAATAATGGAGTCTCCCTGTGGGATCACTTATTTTACATAGCTAATAATGGAGTCTCCCTGTGGTATCACTTACTTTACCATAGCTAATAATGGAGTCTCCCTGTGGTATCATTTATTTTACATAGCTAATAATGGAGTCTCCCTGTGGTATCACTTACTTTACATAGCTAATAAATGGAGTCTCCCTGTGGTATCACTTACTTTACCATAGCTAATAAATGGAGTCTCCCTGTGGGATCACTTACTTTACATAGCTATACCCTGTGGGATCACTTACTTTACATAGCTAATAAATGGAGTCTCCCTGTGGGATCACTTACTTTACATAGCTAATAAATGGAGTCTCCCTGTGGGATCACTTACTTTACATAGCTAATAAATGGAGTCTCCCTGTGGTATCACTTACTTTACCATAGCTAATAAATGGAGTCTCCCTGTGGTATCACTTACTTTACCATAGCTAATAAATGGAGTCTCCCTGTGGGATCACTTACTTTACATAGCTAATAAATGGAGTCTCCCTGTGGGATCACTTACTTTACATAGCTAATAAATGGAGTCTCCCTGTGGGATCACTTACTTTACATAGCTAATAAATGGAGTCTCCCTGTGGTATCACTTACTTTACCATAGCTAATAAATGGAGTCTCCCTGTGGTATCACTTACTTTACCATAGCTAATAAATGGAGTCTCCCTGTGGTATCACTTACTTTACCATAGCTAATAAATGGAGTCTCCCTGTGGTATCACTTACTTTACCATAGCTAATAAATGGAGTCTCCCTGTGGTATCACTTACTTTACCATAGCTAATAAATGGAGTCTCCCTGTGGTATCATTTACTTTACATAGCTAATAAATGGAGTCTCCCTGTGGTATCACTTACTTTACATAGCTAATAATGGAGTCTCCCTGTGGTATCACTTACTTTACATAGCTAATAAATGGAGTCTCCCTGTGGTATCATTTATTTTACATAGCTAATAAATGGAGTCTCCCTGTGGTATCATTTACTTTACATAGCTAATAATGGAGTCTCCCTGTGGTATCACTTACTTTACATTATATATACACTACCAGTCAAACGTTTGGACACCTACTCATTCAAGGGTTTTTCTTTATTTTTACTATTTTCTACAGGGTGAGACATCAAAACTATGAAATAACACATATGGAATCATGTAGTAACCAAAAAAGTGTTAAACAAATCAAAATATATTTTATATTTGAGATTCTTCAAATAGCCACCCTTTGCCTTGATGACAGCTTTGCACACTCTTAGCATTCTCTCAACCAGCTTCATGAGGTAGTCACCTGGAATGCATTTCAATTAACAGGTGTGCCTTCTTAAAAGTTAATTTGTGGAATTTCTTTCCTTCTTAATGCGTTTGAGCCAATCAGTTGTGTTGTGACAAGGTAGGGGGTATACAGAAGATAGCCCTATTTGGTAAAAGACCAAGTCCATATTATGGCAAGAACAGCTCAAATAAGCAAAGAGAAACGACAGTCCATCATTACTTTAAGACATGAAGGCCAGTCAATATGGAAAATTGCAAAAACCATCAAGCGCTATGATGAAACTGGCTCTCATGAGGACCACCACAGGAATGGAAGACCCAGAGTTACCTCTGCTGCAGAGGATAAGTTCATTAGAGTTACCAGCCTCAGAAATTGCAGCCCAAATAAATGCTTCACAGAGTTCAAGTCACAGACACATCTCAACATCAACTGTTCAGAGGAGACTGTGTGAATCAGGCCTCCATGGTCGAATTGCTGCAAATAAACCACTACTAAAGGACACCAATAAGAAGAAGAGACTTGGGCCAAGAAACACAAGCAATGGACATTAGACCGGTGGAAATTTGTCCTTTGGTCTGGAGTCCAAATTGGAGATTTTTGGTTCCAACTGCCGTGTTTTGTGAGACGTGGTGTGGGTGAACGGATGATCTCCGCATGTGTAGTTCCCACCGTAAAGCATGGAGGAGGAGGTGTTATGGTGTGGGGGTGCTTTGCTGGTGACACTGAATGAGTTGGTGTTCTAAAAGTTTTGACCGATAGTATATACAGTGGGGGAAAAAAAGTATTTAGTCAGCCACCAATTGTGCAAGTTCTCCCACTTAAAAAGATGAGAGAGGCCTGTAATTTTCATCATAGGTACACGTCTAAATGTTTTGACCGATAGTATATATATATATAGTAGAGACCTTAGAGTATGGTAAGCACAAGACAGAAAAGCAGTAAACAGCAGCAGTCCTATCAGCCCAATAAGCTCTGTTATCAGTGTAGAACCATCTACACCCCCATCTCGCATAGAGTTGTCACTCGGTGGTTACGCAACCGGAGGATTGCGCAAAGTCTATGTAGGTTGGTGGGGGGGTCTAATTGTCATTGACCTTTCTCCACCCTTTTCATGATCAGCAATAATAGCAACGGCAATAGCAAGTAAGTAGGTGAAGCCCATGTTGTTGGTGGTGGGTCCATTCAATGTTTATTGACCTTTTTTTCCCCCCCACAATCCCTTTCACCATTCAACAACAGTCCCAAGGTGAAAAACAAGGTAACAAGGCCTCTGAGGCCTGGGGTAACACTTGACCCTTCACACTGATTTCCTCCGCTTCCCGAAGACATTATTGATGAGTTTGGCCATGGACTTGGAGCCACTGGGTCTCCGTCTCCTCTCCTTGGCCTTGCCCCCCCCCAGGCTGACGTTGTGGACCGTCTTAGAGAACATGAGGACCACCTCCTGGTAGTGTTCTGCCGCAGAGAGCTCGTAGAACTGGCACTGGGACTCCGCTGCCAGGCGCTGGCCCTCCTCTCGACGCACCTCCCTCACATGGCACAGGTCCTGCTTGTTACCCACCAGGAACACCAGAGAGTCTGCATCCCTGATGGGGAAGAGAGGGAGACAGGGTGAGCAGGATCTATGAGGCAATAAGGACAGCCATAATGAATCCCTGGACGTAGCAGAAGACAAAAACAGGAGGCCGCGTTGAGTTTAACGCTAGCGACGTTCAAGACTATGGGGGCGTCTGAAATGGCACCCCTATTCTATTTACGCCACACTATGTTTTACCAGAGTCGTGTCAACGTAGTAGTCAGATAGCAGTCCGAAGTACTGCAGTCTTTATAATGGAATAAGGAGACATTTCAGATGTAACCTACGACACTAAAACTTAAGCCATGAAGGAGAGTTGAGAGTATCGTCTCTGTTTGTGTCAGTGCTAAACTGTAGGACAATGTTTGTTGTCCACAAACTGTTTTGGTGGGGCATTTATGTAATAACTTTGATTGCTGTGGGTGAAGACTCAGTACATTGAGATGTTCCCTCATACCCAGAAGACCATTAGAGAGATGTTCCCTCATACCCAGAATACCATTAGAGAGATGTTCCCTCATACCCAGATTACCATTAGAGAGATGTTCCCTCATACCCAGAAGACCATTAGAGAGATGTTCCCTCATACCCAGAATACCATTAGAGAGATGTTCCCTCATACCCAGAATACCATTAGCGAGATGTTCCCTCATACCCAGAATACCATTAGAGAGATGTTCCTTCATCCCCATTAGACCATTAGAGAGATGTTCCCTCATCCCCATTAGACCATTACATATGTTCCCTCATCCCCATTAGACCATTAGAGATGTTCCCTCATCCCCATTAGACCATTAGAGATGTTCCCTCATCCCCATTAGACCATTACAGATGTTCCCTCATCCCCATTAGACCATTAGAGAGATGTTCCCTCATCCTCATTAGACCATTAGAGAGATGTTCCCTCTTCCCCATTATACCATTTGACAGATGTTCCCTCATCCCCAGAAGACCATTAGACAGATGTTCCCTCATCCCCATTAGACCATTAGACAGATGTTCCCTCATCCCCAGAAGACCATTAGACAGATGTTCCTTCATCCCCAGAAGACCATTAGACAGATGTTCCCTCATCCCCAGAAGACCATTAGACAGACAGAAGACCATTAGACAGATGTTCCCTCATCCCCAGAAGACCATTAGACAGATGTTCCTTCATCCCCAGAAGACCATTAGACAGATGTTCCCTCATCCCCAGAAGACCATTAGTGAGATGTTCCCTTAACCCCATTAGACCATTACAGATGTTCCCTCCACCCCAGAAGACCATTAATGAAAACATTCCACCAATCAGTTCGGCCATTATAGAGAGATGGCACAAGACGCCTCAACAGCAGTAACGTTCTCATAGTGACAGGAGAATTCAATAGCAGCTGGATATTTCATAGAGGATTGGTATGGGTGCTGAATGATGAGTTAGTGGTGTATTGAAATACTGCCAGCAGGAACAGAAGGTCATGCAGACAATAGATATTGGACATGAGCCAGAGAGTTGAATCTCTATGGTAGAATCTATCAATGGGATTACTAACAATGTAACAGTTGTTGGGCAGTGTGGCGGCTATTAAACTCACATCAATGTCCAATCTATTGATCTACAACAACAGTAATAAGATGGAATGTCTGTATTAGTGACAGAGTCTACCTTTTGGTAGGTGAGTAGAACTGGAAGGACTGGACAGGTGGGTAGATGGACTGGACAGGTGGGTGGATGGACTGGACAGGTGGGTGGATGGACTGGACAGGTGGGTGGATGGACTGGACAGGTGGGTGGATGGACTGGACAGGTGGGTGGATGGACTGGACAGGTGAGTGGATGGACTGGACAGGTGAGTAGATGGACTGGACAGGTGGGTAGATGGACTGGACAGGTGAGTGGGTGGACTGGACAGGTGAGTAGATGGACTGGACAGGTGGGTAGATGGACTGGACAGGTGGGTGGATGGACTGGACAGGTGGGTGGATGGACTGGACAGGTGGGTAGATGGACTAGACAGGTGGGTGGATGGACTGGACAGGTGGTGGATGGACTGGACAGGTGGGTAGATGGACTGGACAGGTGGGTGGATGGACTGGACAGGTGGGTGGATGGACTGGACAGGTGGGTGGATGGACTGGACAGGTGGGTGGATGGACTGGACAGGTGGGTGGATGGACTGGACAGGTGGGTGGATGGACTGGACAGGTGGGTGGATGGACTGGACAGGAGGGTAGATGGACTGGACAGGTGGGTGGATGGACTGGACAGGTGGGTGGATGGACTGGACAGGTGAGTGGTTACCTTTTGGCCACTCCCAGGTTCAGCTCTCTGATCAGGTGTACTATGGCTTTAGCCTTGCTGAAGGAGCAGCGGTCACTGATGTCATAGACCACTACGAAGCCATCAGCCCAGTGGATCTGGTCGTTCAGAGTTGACTTCCCCTCACAGGCCTGCAGAGGAACACAAACAGCAGGGACATGTTGCTATAACCAAGCAATCTGATACACACCAGTGGAGGCTGGTGAAGGGAGGGTGGCTCATATTAATGGCTGGAATAGAATAAGGCTGGAATGGAATGAATAGAACCCCATTCCATTCCATTCATTCCAATGAGCCCCAGGCTACACTAAGTTATCTGACTACAGGTGCTGAAATAATAGCCTTCATCATACTTCGATAAATCATAATTATAAACTGGGTGGTTCGTGCCCTGAATGCTGATTGGCTGACAGCCGTGGTATATCAGACCGTATACCACGGGTATGACAAAACATGTATTTTTACTGCTCTAATTACGTTGGTAACCAGTTTATAATAGCAATAAGGCACATCGGGGGTTTGTGATTTATGGCCAATATACCACAGCTAAGGGCTGTGTCCAGGCACTCCGCGTTGCATTGTGCGATAAGAACAGCCCTTAGCCGTGGTATATTGGCCATATACCACACCTCCTTGGGCCTTATTGCTTAATTATAGCCCCAGGTTGTGTTCGCCCACTTCCGGGTATATCCATCCATCCAACTCCTGGTGGTAATGCTCCTGTCAATTCAGAGGCAGGGAGACAGGGAGGGAGGGAGACAGGGAGGGAGGGAGACAGGGAGGGAGACAGGGAGGGAGACAGGGAGGGAGGGAGACAGGGATACATTGCTGCATGCTTGGCTGGGCACAATAAGTGAGATTGATTACTCTGTTTGGGGTTTCAACTACACTGGCATTATTACCCTTTACCATCCATTTCAGATAGAGGAATATTGGGTATGAGAGATGGCTTTTCTTCAGCGCATAAAGCATTATTCATACATGTCAATGGGTGGCCACTCAGGTCATTTAATGGTGATAATAAACATGACGGTCATCACAAGGTTCCCCTCCTCCTCTCAACTTACCTGTGAGCAAGGATCATAGAGTTCCACATTCAGCTGTCTACCATCAATAGACAGACGCTTTCTGTATATGCACTCTGCATCAGAGAGAGAGAGCTGCTCTCTCTCTCTCTCTCATCGCGCCTCTCTCTCTCGCTTTATGTGTTTTTCTCTCTCTCTCTCGCTCTCTCGCTCTCTCTCTTTTTCTCTCTCTCTCCTCCCTCTCTCTCTTTTTGATTTCTTTCTTTTTGTCTCGTCCCCATCCTTTCGTATCTTTCATTGTTCTCCGTACTCCTCTCGCTACGTCTCTCTCTCTCTCCTCATCCTCTCATCCTCTCTCTCTCTCTCTCGCTCTCTCTGCTCTCTCTCTCTCTCTCTCTCTCTCTTTGTCTGTGCTTTTGCTCTACTTCTCCTACTCTCTCTCTCTCCATCTCTCTCTCTGCTAAGTCTCTTCCGCTCTTTCTTACTCGTCTCTCTCTGCTCTTTTTGTTTCTTTTTCTCGCTCTTGTTCTTATCTTTTTCTCTCGTCTTTCCATTTCTTTTTCTCTGCTCTCTAAATTCTTGTTTCCTGTCTTCTTTTTCTCTCGCTCTCCTCTTTCGGTCTTCCTTTCTTTTTCGTCTCGGCTACTTCCGTTCGTTTCTCTATCTCTCGTTGCTTGCTTTTTGTCTCGCGCTTAGCAGAGGTCGGGAGTTTGGAGAAGAGAGAGAGGGCATGATGGGAGAGAGCTAAGTGGGAGAGAGAGGGAGTAGTTGGGAGAGAGAGAGGTAAGGGTGTTTTGCTCTCGCTCTTTCGTGTTTTTTTCGCCTCTCTCTGTTCTGGCTTTGCGCGACTCTCTTTCTTTTCGTTTTCGCTCTCTCTTTTTCAATCGTCGTCTCCTTTCGTCTTTGTGCCGTCTTTTTGCTCGCGCGCTTGTCTGTTTGATGTGGGTGGGCTCTCTCTCTTTCTTTTTTTGCGCGCTCTCTCTGTCTGGTCTTTGGTGATCTCTCTCTCTCACTTTCTAATTCTTTTGGCTCTCTCTCTCGCTTCTTTATTCTCTTCTCTCTCTTCTTTGCTTTTTTTTCTCTCTCTCCTTTCATTTCTTTGCCCGTCTCTCCGTTACTTGTACTTATTCATAAACTCTCCTCGCGCGTTTCTTTCTTTTTCTCTTTTGGATACTCTCGTCCTTTCCTTGACCCTTCACTATGACCATTGCATTCCCCAATCCTTGCTAGTGGACCTCGGTCTCACGTTAACCGCTCTCGAGGACAAATATCTGCTGCCCTTGACCTTAGCTTATCGACTTAAGTTCGCTTTCGTTGCTGGCATCGCAGATAAATAGAAAAGTCCCCCTTTCTCTAGTTCGCTCCATCCCTTGTCTTTTTCTCTTCTCCGCTTTCTGTTCGTGTTTTGTTCTCTTCTCTCCTTTTCTGTTTGGTCTTTTTCTCTACATCTCTCCTTCTTTCTTTTCCTCTCTCTCTTCTCTCCTTTGCCCTTTCTTTTGCTCTCTCTGTGCTTTCTCTCTCTCTCTACTCTCTCTCTCTCTCTCTCTCTCTCGCTCGCTTCTCTCTCTCCTCTCGCTCTCTCTCTCCTCTCCTGCCTCCTCTCTTTCGTTTTTTTTTCTCTCTTTTTTTTTTTTCTCCTCTTTCTTTCTTTTTTTCTCTCGTTCTTGCTTTTTTCTCTCTCTCTCTCTCTCCTCTCTCTCCTCTCTCTCTCTCGCTCTCTCTCATCTCTCTCGCTCGCTTTTCCCTTTTCTCGCGCCTCCCCTTCTCTCTCTCTCTCTCTCTCTCTCTCCTCTCTCTCCGCTCGCTCTCGCTCGCTCTCTCTTCTTTTCTTCTCTCTCCTCTCTCGTCTTTTTTTTTCGCTCTCGCCTCGCTCCTCTCTCTCGTCCGCTCCTCTCTTTTTTTTCTTTTTATTTTATTTTTTTTGTGTGTTTTTTTTTTGGCTTTTTTTCTTTTTGATTTTTTTATTTTTTTTACCTTTCTCTTTTTTTTTTTTCTTCTTTTTTTTCTTTTTTTTTTCTTTTTTTTTTTGTTCCTTTTGCTTTTTTTGTTCTGGGGGGGGCAGGGTTTGGGGGTGGTTTGGGTGGGGGGGTTTTCGGGGGTTGGGGTGGTTTTTTTTTTGGGGTGTTGTGTTATTAGGTATGTTGGGGTGTTTGTCTGTTTGTTGTCCTTTTTTCGTTGTGTTCTTGGGGGGGAAGGAGAAAGAGAGAGATGGGGGAGTGAAGAGAGAGGGGTAGAAAATTCCAATATTAGATCAAATGAGGCTGTGGTAAAGTCCAGTTTGCACAACAGTATTGTGAGGCAAACCCTCCTGAATGATGACAATGCAACCCTCTAACATTTATTGTTGGCAGACTGAAGATGATCTGACCTTGGCCGTGAGACTAGCAGTGCATGTAACAGTGTTTGACAGGGGCGACTAAGCATTGCCATGATAACAATTGGTGACAGGGAGACTAGAGTTGTCATGATAACAGTGGTGACAGGGAGACTAGCGTGCATGTAACAGTGGTGACAGAAGACTAGCAGTGCCATGATAAAGTGGTGACAGAAGACTATAGCAGTGTCATGATAACAGTGGGTGACCGGGAGACTATCATTGGCCATGTTAACAGTGGTGCAGGGAGACGAGGGCAGTGCCATGTAACATTGGGTGACAGGGAGCTAGCAGTGCCATGTACAGTGGTGACAGTGAGACCTAGCAGTGTCATGTTAACAGTGGTGCAGGGAGACTAGCAGCACCATGAATAACAGTGGTACAGGGATCCTAGCATTGGCCATGGTTAACATGGTGGCATGGAGACTATCAGTGCCATGATAACAGTGGTGACAGGGATACTAAGCATTGTCAATAGTTAACAGTGGTGACAGGGAGACTACAGTACCATGATACAGTGGTGACAGGGAGACTAAGCAGTGCCAGTTACAGTTGGTGACAGGGAGCTTAGGCAGTGTCAGGGATGATAACAGTGGTGACAGGGAGACTAGGCAGTACCATGATAACAGTGGTGAAGGAGACTCGCAGTGGCTGATAACAGTGGTGACAGGGAGACTAAGCATTACATGTAACATGGTGACAGGGAGCTAAGCAGTGTCATGATACAGTGGTGACAGGGAGCTAGAAGCATTGTCATGTTTAAATGGTGACAGGGAGACGAGAGTCGTGTCATTTTAACAGTGGTGACAGGAGACTGCAGTGCCATGTTAACATGGTGACAAGGGAACTAGGCGTGTCATGATAACATTGTGACCGTGAGCGTTTAGCAGTGCATGTTAACAGTGGTGACAGTGGAGACAGCATCTCATGATAACAGTGGGTGAACAGGGAGACTTAGCAGTACCATGTTAACAGTGGTGACTGGAGACCTAGCAGTTCATGATAACAGTGTGAACGGGGAGCTTAGCAGTGCCATGATAACAGTGGTGACAGGGAGCGTAACCTGTCATTTTAACATGTGACATGGAGCTTAGGGCATGTGCCAGATAACAGTGGTGCCGCGGAGCTTAGCAGGCAATGATAACAGTGTGACGTGAGCTAGCATGTCATGTTACATTGGTGGACAGAAGACTAGCAGTGTCATGTTAACAGTGTGACAGGGAGACTCTCAGCTAAACTAGATTAACTCTGAGAAACAATGATCCCGCGTAAAAGAAGCCCTAATCACTAGAGTCACATCCTTCTTCTAATGCGCTTTCCACATGCCTTGTAGGGCCACTAGACCTCTACCTGAGATGCGCCCGTTTGCATACCCCCGGACGTCCGACCCATAGCCCAAGCCACAGTACAGGCCAGCTCAGTACGTGTAGCGGTAATTTGCCAAGTCGCAGGCAACCGACAGCCCCGGAGTAGTGTTATTCAATCAACCGTATATCCCTAGAACTATGATCAATATTAAATAACCGACAACACGCCTATCCAACATTGACCAAATATATTTTTATTTTGAATGAACCTGCAGCCTAAAATATTTCATAATACAAATGATCCGACATATACAATCAACTGACATACTTTCTGATGTTGGAACCAAATGCTACTGATCACTGTCCCCTAGCTGTAGTCCAGCCATCGATTAAGGACAGTGTTCCCCTAGCTGTAGCCAGCCAGCTGATGAAGGACAGGTGTCCCCCTAGCTGGTAGCCAGTCATCTGATGAGGACAGTGTGTCCCCGTAGCTGTAGCCAGCCATCTGATTGAAGGACAGTGTTTCCCCTAAGCTGTAGCCATTCATCTGAATGAAGGACAGTGTGTCCCCTAGCTGTAGCCATTCCACTGATGAAGGACAGGTGTCCCCCTAGCTGTAGCCAGCCATCTAGATGAAGGACAGTGGGTCCCCTAGCTGAGCCAGCCATCTGATGAAGGACCGTGTGTCCCCTAGCTGTAGCCAGCAGCCATCTGATGAAGGACAAGTGTGTCCCCTACTTAGCCGCCATCTGATGAAGGACAGTGGTCCCCTAGTGTAGCCAGCCAATCCCGAATGAGGACAGTGTGTCCCTAGCTGTAGCCAGCCACTGATGGAAGGACAGTGGTGTCCCCTAGCTGGAGCCAGCCATCCTGATGAAGGACAAGATGTGTCCCCTAGCTGTAGCCAGTAGATCTGATGAAGGCAGTGTGTCCCCTAGCGTGTGCCAGCCATCTGATTGAAGGACACTGTGTTCATAGCTTGTAGCCAGTCATTCTGATGAATGACAGTGGTGTTCACCTAGGTCGCATCAGGAAATCGAAACATTACGTATTATGTCAGAACTGACATGTTGAACACAAAATGTCCGTCTGCGCACAGGACAGACAGGAAGCCTGTGCAATGATGCGTAAAAAAAGCGATGATGACATTTCACATAAACAATTTGCACGTTTCTTCATTCTTTTTCCTTTTACGATTGTTTTCATAATAATTTTAGCATGAAAGTAGGTGGAATAATGTTTTAAAAACCAGAACAATTTTTAGGGGTGAGCAAGCTTTATATTGCAGATAGATTGTACTTCCCTCAATTTCTGCAACACTTTTCCAATCCCTCCATATGTTTTTCTCTCTCGCATATATACATATACATATATATATACACATATACATACATTAAAAAATATATATTTCCCTTTATTACTTTCCAGCCCCACCACCCCTTCCCTAATTGGAGTAATCTAGTGAACAACAATGCTTAGGCCTCTACTTTCAGCTTATACATACTATATACATTTTATGGACACAGTCAATTTTACAATACATTATATTCTGTTTGGTTTTTACTCTGAACTTCCTCTACCCTCAACCTCTCCGATCATTTTCATGTATGTCCATCCGGTTTGCTTCTATATGCCATATCTTTCTAACTGTGGCTCTTTCACAAAAGCTCTCAACCTATAACCTATATACTTATTATGGACACAGTATGCTTTACATTAGTTATCTTGTTGTTATTAGTTGTTGTTAGTTGTTATTAGTCCCATCCTTCAGCTCCATTCAACACCTCCCATCTATCTCTTAACACCATCCATATTGGATTTCTATTTGCCATATATTTTCAACTGTACTGTGATGTTTTACAAAAGTTCTGAACCTTTCTATTCTCATTGTTTCTACAGATTGTAAATTGAAAATAACACATTTTTGCTAAAAGTATTATTATATTATTGATCGATTGACTATGACTTTTCAGATCACCCATAATGCTATCTGCAAGGTTAGCTCCAGGTAAATCTTGCAATCCTTCAGCCATTCCTGGACCTTGACCAAAAACAAGCTACAAATGGACAGAACCAAAAACAAATGATCTAATGATTCTGTCTCTTCACAGCAAAATCTGCAGAGCTGGGAAGATTGTATCCCCCATATAAATAACATTCTATTGGTAGCAATAATTTAATATAAAACTTTAAATAAAAAAAGTATACGTTATGAATCCGGGGTCGTTTTGCGTTTCAGTTCATAAACACTATGCCATGGGATCGGTACGTCAACAATCTCTTCCCAACTATTTTGCAATCTATAAGTGGTAATCATGTTACACAAGTCTATTGTAGCAAACTAAGTAGGTTAGAAACCTTACCTGGTGATGAGGCATATTCGCCGATAAATCGCCTCGTCAGGAATCGAACGATGAGAGCTGAGGAAGGAATAGGCTAATTATATCTGTATCATCAATTGCCTACTAAAAATGTACACATTTGGACAAACAATAAGCTGAACAAAATGTCTTTACATAACAGGGTAAACATTTGTATAACCTGATTTCCCGACTCCTTCGCTTCCCAAAATGGCAAGTTTAATATCATTCATAATTGCGGTTTAATTCCCTTCCGATTTAAAAAGTGGTTGTTAAAGTTTACCCTACAAAGAAAAATGACAATAATCCCTTTGAAAAATCAAATCCCTTGAAATCTACATTACGACCAAAAGAAGGGTTTAAAAAGCGAGCCGGACGCATCCATCTGACCGTTTCCACCCTGTTGTTCTGTTGGAGTGGTCTCCCGGCGCTGCGGACAGCCGTTTATCTCAGGGTACTGAGGAACGCCTTGTTCTGAACAGAGAGGCGAGAGAGAGATGCTAGATGATATAGAGAGAGAGAGATAGAGAGAGAGAGATATATAGATCGTAGATAGAGAGGCAAAGAGAGAGAGAGAGATGATAGCGTCGCGCTCGCGCTCTCTCTCTCAGCGCTCATCCTCTCTCTATCGCTCTCTATCCTTCCGCTCTCTCTCTCTCTATCTCGCTCTCGCCATCCCTCGTCTTCTCTCTCTCGCTCTCTCTCTATCCCCCTTTCTCCGCTCGCGCTCTCTCTCTCTCTCTCTCTCGCTCTCGCTCGCTCTCTTACCCTTGTCTCTCCCTCCCCTCTTCCTCACCCATTGGCGAAGTGAGTGAGACAGGGACATCAGAGGCATGCTTTTATAAATGAGAAGCACTCGGTTTTTCATGTAGAGAGGAGGTAGTGTGTGTAATGTGTGTATCCTCCCCCCCCCCCCCCCCTCTGTTGTTTCTCCTCCTCAGAGAAGAGACTCATTCAGTAGGGTCCTCTAGAATGACCTTAAAGAGGTGCTCCCTCATAGCAACAAAACCATCAACACAGAGTAACAACAACAACACCTCAGTGACCTATAGAATAGCTCATCACACACTACATGACCAAAAGTATGTGGACACCTGCTCGTCCAACATCTCATTACAAAATCATGGGTATTAATATGGAGTTGGTCCCCCCCCCCTTTGCTGCTTTAACAGCCTCCACTCTTCTGGGAAGGCTTTCCACTAGATGTTGGAACATTGTTGCGGGGACTTGCTTCCATTCATCCACAAGAGGATTAGTGAGGTCTGGCACTGATGTTGGGCGATTAGGCGCTGGCTCGCAGTCGGCGTTCCAATTCATCCCAAAGGTGTTCGATGGGGTTGAGGTCAGGGTTCTGTACAGGCCAGTCAAGTTCTACCACACCGATCTCAACAAATAATTTCTGTATGGACTTCACTTTGTGCCCGGGGGCATTGTCATGCTGAAACAGGAAAGGACCTTCCCCAAACTGTTGCCACAAAGTTGGAAGCACAGAATCGTCTAGAATGTCATTGTATGCTATAGCGTTAAGATTTCCCTTCACTGGAACTAAGGGGCCTAGCCCGAACCATGAAAAACAGCCCCAGACGATTATTCCTCCTCACCAAACATTACAGTTGGCACTATGCATTGGGGCAGGTAGCGTTCTCCTGGCAATCCGCCAAACCCAGATTTGTCCGTCGGACTGCCAGATGCTGAAGCGTGATTCATCACTCCAGAGAACACGTTTCCACTGCTCCAGAGTCCAATGGCGGCGAGCTTTACACCACTCCTGCCGACGCTTTGCATTGCGCACGGTGATCTTAGGCTTGTGTGCGGCTGCTCGGCCACGGAAACCCATTTCATGAAGCTCCCGACGAAGAACAGCTCTTGTGCTGACGTTGCTTCCAGAGGCAGTTTGGAACTCGGCAGTGAGCGTTGCAACCGAGGACAGACGATTTTTACCCGCTACGCGGTTCAGCACTCGGCGGTCCCGTTCTGAGAGCTTGTGTGGCCTACCACTTCACGGCTGAACAATTGTTGCTCCTAGACGATTTCCACTTCACACTAAAAGCACTTACAGTTGACCGGGGCAGCTCTAGCAGGGCAGACATTTGACGAACTGACTTGTTGGAAAGGTGGCATCCTCATGACGGTGCCACGTTGAAAATCACTGAGCTCTTCAGTACGGGTCATTCTACTGCCAATGTTTGTCTATGGAGATTGCATGGCTGTGTGGTCGATTTTATACACCTGGCTGAAATAGCCAAATCCACTAATTTGAAGGGGTGTCCATCTACTTTTGTATAGATAGTATACTTTTAAATGTTGTTTTTTTTATAATAAAGAAATCCACTTCATCTTTCATTGGCACTGATAGAACACTGATATTAGGTAGGAAAACATCTGACAAAAATAGGTTTGGCACAAATGTGTACCTCTGCTCCAAACGTCAGCTAGCACTTTACATATTTTATATCAACTTAAAGTTATATCTTATCTATGACGTAAAAGTGTGAAAGGAAGCTGGCTCGCTGTACATGCACTGTATTATAATATAATAATAATATGCCATTTAGCAGACATTTTTATCCAAAGCGACTTACAGTCATGTGTGCATACATTTTTACGTATATGGGTGGTCCCGGGGATCGAACCCACTACCCTGGTGTTACAAGCGCCGTGCTCTACCAATTAAGCTACAGAGGACCACATTTGATTGCTTATCAGCAGAACCGGCTTGTGCAGACATAGTGCAGCATTTTTCAGGCATTTTTTAGAGGCACACAAGGTAAGGCAAAACCAAAAAGGCCAGAGGAGAGAGAGAGGGAGAGCGAAAGGGAGGGGGAGAGAGAAAGGGAGGGGTGGAGAGAGAGAGAGAGAGAGAGAGAGAGAGCGATAGACAGAGGGGGGTAGAGAGAGAGTAAGGAGGAGAGAGAGCGGGGGGAGAGAGAGAAAGAGAGAGATGGGGGAGTGAAAGAGGGGAGAAAATTACAATAATTAGATCAATTGAGGCTGTGGTAAAGTCCAGTTTCCACAACAGTATTGTGAGGCAGACCCTCCTGAATGATGACTGCACCCTCTACATTATTGTTGGCAGACCGAGGAGGATCTGACTTGGCAGGGAGACTAGCAGTGCCATGTTAACAGTGGTGACAGGGAGACTAGCAGTGCCATGATAACAGTGGTGACAGGGAGACTAGCAGTGTCATGTTAACAGTGGTGACAGGGAGACTAGCAGTGTCATGATAACAGTGGTGACAGGGAGACTAGCAGTGTCATGTTAACAGTGGTGACAGGGAGACTAGCAGTGCCATGTTAACAGTGGTGACAGGGAGACTAGCAGTGTCATGATAACAGTGGTGACAGGGAGACTAGCAGTGCCATGATAACAGTGGTGACAGGGAGACTCTCAGCTGAAACTAGATTAACTCTGAGAAACAATGCTCCCGCTGAGCCACTATCACAGAAAAATAACAGTATTTTTCAGAGGCACACAAGGTAGGGCCAAATAGAGCAATCTGATACTCTCTCTCCGTTTCCCGTGGTGATTGTCATCCAGTCTTAATAACAATCTGATACTCTCTCTCCGTTTCCCATGGTTACTACAGCACATTATTTTAACTGAACCCCACCAAGCTGTAACAGAATAGCATTCTGCTATTAAAAGGACATGATGGTGCAGTTGGCATAATTATTACTGGACCTGCATGTTAATGTCTGCTGTATTAAACCTCTTTAACACACTGTTTTAGAAACACTTCTGATGTCTTCTATTCCCTATATAATGCACTGCTTTTGACCAGGGCCCACCCTATTCCCTATATAGTGCACTGCTTTGACCAGGGCCCACCCTATTCCCTATATAGTGCACTGCTTTTGACCAGGGCCCACCCTATTCCCTATACAGTGCACTGCTTTGACCAGGGCCCACCCTATTCCCTATATAGTGCACTGCTTTTGACCAGGGCCCACCCTATTCCCTATATAATGCACTGCTTTAGACCAGGGCCCACCCTATTCCCTATATAATGCACTGCTTTTGACCAGGGCCCACCCTATTCCCTATATAATGCACTGCTTTAGACCAGGGCCCACCCTATTCCCTATATAATGCACTGCTTTAGACCAGGGCCCACCCTATTCCCTATATAATGCACTGCTTTTAACCAGGGCCCACCCTATTCCCTATATAATGCACTGCTTTAGACCAGGGCCCACCCTATTCCCTATATAATGCACTGCTTTTGACCAGGGCCCACCCTATTCCCTATATAATGCACTGCTTTAGACCAGGGCCCACCCTATTCCCTATATAATGCACTGCTTTAGACCAGGGCCCACCCTATTCCCTATATAATGCACTGCTTTGACCAGGGCCCACCCTATTCCCTATATAATGCACTGCTTTAGACCAGGGCCCACCCTATTCCCTATATAATGCACTGCTTTAGACCAGGGCCCACCCTATTCCCTATATAGTGCACTGCTTTGACCAGGGCCCACCCTATTCCCTATATAGTGCACTGCTTTGACCAGAGAATGGCACCCTATTCCCTATATAATGCACTGCTTTGACCAGGGTCCACCCTATTCCCTATGTAGTGCACTGCTTTTGACCAGGCCCCACCCTATTCCCTATATAATGCACTGCTTTGACCAGGGCCCACCCTATTCCCTATGTAGTGCACTGCTTTGACCAGGGCCCACCCTATTCCCTATGTAGTGCACTGCTTTAGACCAGAGAATGGCACCCTATTCCCTATGTAGTGCACTGCTTTTGACCAGGCCCACCCTCATCTCAGTCAGGATTTGGTCGAACTCCGACATACCCTGCTTGCTCTAAATGCATAGAAGTAGAGCCGCGCGCGTGTGCATCTCTCTCACACACTCTCACACACTCTCACTCACACACACACACACACACACACACACACACACACACACACACACACACACACACACACACACACACACACACACACACACACACACACACACACACACACACACACACACACACACACACACACACACACACACACACACACACACACACACACACACACACACTATGGAATAGGGTACCATTTGAGATGCACAGTAGAGTTATCACGCAATCTGAGAATAGCATCATTCTTCTTACTGGAAAAGAGTTGACCCATATTTCAGATCTCTTAAACATGTCATTTAAATATAGAACTTGTATACATTTCACAGATACATCAATGTTAGTCAGTAGGCAGGTTTCCATTGATCCAGGTTTATTCCACAAAAGCAATGTCGCCAAAAAATAAATAATTGTGACATTTGTAATGGAAACTGCAGATGTAGGAGACCCCAGCTAAAACCGTTGACAACTATGTGCCGTTTTCAAGGGATTGATCAATAAATGTTAACTATTTGGTTTTAATATCATCACCTCTTGAAGACCATAGTCAGAATTACACATTTCCCATTGTTCCATGCAACACAATTACGCACATTTAGTTCTATCATCAGAGTTATACAGCAAGTAACTCCATGCTTTTCATGATCTGTAAACATAAATTGATCATGACATTTCAGATACATGATTGAAGTTTTCACCGTCAAATTGTTTCAGGTCACTAGATCTCCATGATTGAAGTTTAACCATGGTTTGGACCTGCACATGAAAATTATTAGAATATGGCAAATATTAGTCAATTATTGCATTATATCCAAGCTGGCTTTTGCAGGCTACCTGAGATATGAAAGAGATAAGTGGGAGGGCATACAGACTGTCGCCAATTTATCAATCAGCAATTTACCTAAATGGGTAATGGAAACACTTCAACCACTACATTTTGATTCGACACTCGAGGTTCTGGAGAAAAAGTGTTTTTCTTTATGTGTGAGGTCTTTACGTCCAGCTGTTGTTATCAACACAAGACAGTTGAATGGAAACACACCGTAGAAGACAATTGTCCCATCTACTTTCTATGCCAACTTCCAACATGTAGACCAAAAAAAAAAACACTGGACAAGTTAATAGAAACATAACTACTGATTTTATCCCAAATATAACTATTTTCTCAACATATTTCACTACTATGGGTTCCTGGTCAAAAGTAGTGCACTTTATAGGGAATAGGGAGCCATTCTCTGGTCTAAAGTAGTGCACTATATAGGGAATAGGGTGCCATTTTGGATGCAGATATTTTCTTTGGAAGATGTTTTAGGTAGGAGGCTTCTCTCGCTAAATCTCTTTATCAACAAGCATGTGAGAAGAAGTCCTCTTCTGTGTCTCGTATTTTATTTGGGGTCAGGCGGATGGTAAACAGTGATTTTAGGTCAATGGAAACTTCTGATTCATCAGAGAAAGAGAGAGCTTTACTGTTGCCAGCTAACAGCAGCTAACAGCAACAGCCGTGGTTCTACCGATCCAACTAGGACTGGACCCAACGTTCAGACAGAGAGATGTGGTTCTACCGATCCAACTAGGACCGGACCAAACGTTCAGACAGAGAGATGTGGTTCTACCGATCCGACTAGGACCGGACCCAACGTTCAGACAGAGAGATGTGGTTCTACCTATCCAACTAGGACCGGACCAAACGTTCAGACAGAGAGATGTGGTTCTACCTATCCAACTAGGACCGGACCAAACGTTCAGACAGAGAGATGTGGTTCTACCGATCCAACTAGGACCGGACCAAACGTTCAGACAGAGAGATGTGGTTCTACCGATCCAACTAGGACCGGACCAAACGTTCAGACAGAGAGATGTGGTTCTACCGATCCAACTAGGACTGGACCCAACGTTCAGACAGAGAGATGTGGTTCTACCTATCCAACTAGGACCGGACCAAACGTTCAGACAGAGAGATGTGGTTCTACCTATCCAACTAGGACCGGACCAAACGTTCAGACAGAGAGATGTGGTTCTACCGATCCAACTAGGACCGGACCCAACGTTCAGACAGAGAGATGTGGTTCTACCGATCCAACTAGGACCGGACCAAACGTTCAGACAGAGAGATGTGGTTCTACCGATCCGACTAGGACTGGACCCAACGTTCAGACAGAGAGATGTGGTTCTACCGATCCAACTAGGACCGGACCAAACGTTCAGACAGAGAGATGTGGTTCTACCGATCCAACTAGGACCGGACCCAACGTTCAGACAGAGAGATGTGGTTCTACCGATCCAACTAGGACCGGACCAAACGTTCAGACAGAGAGATGTGGGCCTGTAGTTACTGTTATCACAGACAATGTTTAGAGAGAGAGAGAGAGAGAGAGAGAGAGAGAGAGAGAGAGAGAGAGAGAGACAGAGAGCGAGAGAGAGAGAGAGAGAGAGAGGGAGTGGGGAGCGAGAGAGGGAGGGAGTGGGAGAGAGAGAGAGAGAGAGAGAGAGAGAGAGAGAGAGAGAGAGAGAGAGAGAGAGAGAGAGAGAGAGAGAGAGAGGGAGAGAGAGAGATGTAGGCCTGTAGTTAATGTTATCACAGATAATGTTTAGATAGACAGATGTAGGCCTATACAGTGAGGTCCAAAAGTATTGGGAAAGTGACCATTTTCCTGTTGTTTTGGCTCTGTGCATGAAATAACACAATGACCATGAGGTTAAAGTGCAGACTGTCAGCTTTAATTTGAGGCTATTGTCATCCATATTGGGTGAACCATTTATAAATTACAGCAATTCCTGTACATAGTCCCCCCATTTAAGGGGACCAAAAGTATGATTGTATTGACTAGCTATCTCAGTGAAATCCTATTGGAGGGACCATGAACAGCCACTGTCCTGTCTGTGTGTCAGGATGACTGAGAAGGATACATTGTCTCTCGTTCTTGGATCAGGAGAGATGAGTTTTCAGAACATTTCATGTGGTTTGGCCCACATTTAAAGCAACACCCTCAAAATGGAGCTAGGAACATATTTGGGCCACTGTCTTCTCTGACAGACAGCACTGGTCTAGATGTTGACAGACAGCACTGGTCTAGATGCTGACAGACACCACTGGTCTGGATGTTGACAGACAGCACTGGTCTAGATGCTGATAGACAGCACTGGTCTAGATGCTGACAGACAGCACTGGTCTGGATGCTGACAGACAGCACTGGTCTAGATGTTGACAGACAGCACTGGTCTAGATGCTGACAGACAGCACTGGTCTGGATGTTGACAGACAGCACTGGTCTGGATGTTGACAGACAGCACTGGTCTAGATGCTGACAGACAGCACTGGTCTGGATGTTGACAGAGAGCACTGGTCTAGATGCTGACAGACAGCACTGGTCTAGATGCTGATAGACAGCACTGGTCTGGATGCTGACAGACAGCACTGGTCTGGATGCTGACAGACAGCACTGGTCTGGATGTTGACAGACAGCACTGGTCTGGATGCTGATAGACAGCACTGGTCTGGATGCTGATAGACAGCACTGGTCTAGATGCTGACAGACAGCACTGGTCTGGATGCTGACAGGCAGCACTGGTCTGGATGTTGACAGACAGCACTGGTCTAGATGCTGACAGACAGCACTGGTCTGGATGTTGACCGACAGCACTGGTCTGGATGTTGACAGACAGCACTGGTCTAGATGCTGACAGACAGCACTGGTCTGGATGCTGACAGACAGCACTGGTCTGGATGTTGACAGACATCACTGGTCTGGATGTTGACAGACATCACTGGTCTGGATGTTGAAAGACAGCACTGGTCTAGATGCTGACAGACAGCACTGGTCTGGATGTTGACAGACAGCACTGGTCTGGATGTTGACAGACATCACTGGTCTGGATGTTGACAGACATCACTGGTCTGGATGTTGAAAGACAGCACTGGTCTAGATGCTGACAGACAGCACTGGTCTGGATGTTGACAGACAGCACTGGTCTGGATGTTGACAGACAGCACTGGTCTGGATGCTGACAGACAGCACTGGTCTGGATGTTGACAGACAGCACTGGTCTAGATGCTGACAGACAGCACTGGTCTAGATGCTGACAGACAGCACTGGTCTAGATGCTGACAGACAGCACTGGTCTGGATGCTGACAGACAGCACTGGTCTGGATGTTGACAGACAGCACTGGTCTGGATGTTGACAGACAGCACTGGTCTGGATGCTGACAGACAGCACTGGTCTAGATGCTGACAGACAGCACTGGTCTGGATGTTGACATACAGCACTGGTTTGGATGTTGACAGACAGCACTGGTCTGGATGCTGACAGACAGCACTGGTCTAGATGCTGACAGACAGCACTGGTTTGGATGTTGACAGACAGCACTGGTCTGGATGCTGACAGACAGCACTGGTCTAGATGCTGACAGACAGCACTGGTTTGGATGTTGACAGACAGCACTGGTCTAGATGCTGACAGACACCACTGGTCTGGATGCTGACAGACAGCACTGGTCTGGATGCTGACAGAGATAACTGGTCTGGATGCTGACAGACAGCACTGGTCTGGATGTTGACAGACAGCACTGGTCTGGATGTTGACAGACAGCACTGGTCTGGATGTTGACAGACAGCACTGGTCTGGATGCTGACAGACAGCACTGGTCTGGATGTTGACAGACAGCACTGTTCTGGATGTTGACAGGCAGCACTGGTCTGGATGTTGACAGACACCACTGGTCTGGATGTTGACAGACACCACTGGTCTGGATGTTGACAGGCAGCACTGGTCTGGATGTTGATAGACAGCACTGGTCTAGATGCTGATAGACAGAGAGAGAGAGAGAGAGAGAGAGAGAGAGAGAGAGAGAGAGAGAGAGACAGAGAGAGAGAGAGAGAGAGAGAGAGAGTTAATGTGTTTTTTCTTATCCCAGTTGGAGGCTGATCCGCCTGAATGATCCTGTTTCATTTCCCTTTGGTCTCCCTCCCTCCCCCACTGCCCCAGATCTGAGCTGGAGTTGGCCTCTCTCTCACCATGACCATGATTTAGTGCTCTATCAATAAACTAATTAAAGGGTCTGGCTTTCAGTTTCCCAGCAACTTCATATCTCTTAATGCTGACTGACTGAAAGTTTCTATTAATTAATGAGTTCTGTATCAGGACGGTCTGACCCAACAGCAGGGAGGAACGAACACGTCAGTATGATACACCAGCCACGTCCACAGAAATAGCCCACGCCACAGGCCGACTTCGCCGTGATCGATTCTCATTTTGAGAGAGACGAGCTGGCAAAATGGAAACTGGAACTGGGAAGAGAAGTGAACCCAGAAACGTCCGATCCAAGCCAAGAGGCTTAAGCTAGATGGAGACCTACATTTCAAGGTGCCAAAACAAGAGGTTCAGGTAGGTCAATATTTTCTCTCTGTCATCTATCTTCATCTATTCGACCCTGTAGAGGCCAACGCCTGCCGGTTATCATTACATAGCCTAAACGTGTTGAGGAAAGAGCTACAGGTAACCGCCAAAATAAAGGAAACACCAACATAGTGTCTTAATAATAATAATAATAATAATATGCCATTTAGCAGACGCTTTTATCCAAAGCGACTTACAGTCATGTGTGCATACATAATTTTTTTTTTTTTTACATATGGGTGGTCCCGGGGATCGAACCCACTACCCTGGCTGTTACAAGCGCCATGCTCTACCAATTGAGCTACAGAGGACCACAAAAGGGAGTTGCGCCAACCACGAGCCAGAACAGCTTCCATGAGCCTTGGAAATAGATTCTACAAGTGTCTGGAAACTCTATTGGAGGGATGCGACACCATTCTTCCACGAGAAATTCCATCATTTGGTGTTTTGTTGATGGAAAGCGCCGTCTCAGGCGCCGCTCCAGAATCTTCCAGAAGTGTTCAATTGGGTTGAGATCTCGTGACTGAGACACACAGTTTGTTTTAGTGAAATGTCTGGACTTTTTTGGAGTGTAAAAATTGTTTGACCATTAAATATCCTAATTTACCTAACCCCTAACCCTAAACCTAAACCACACTAAATCTAACCCTGAAGCTTTAAAATATATATTTGCACAAATTCAGGACCTGACAAAAAAACTAACAAAAACATGCTTTGTTACCTTTTCAGGACAATAAGGTGAAATGATTTTTGGGATCCTGATAATGTTGGAAAAATAAAACACACACAAACTCACATTAAACCCTCTATGCTCCTTTGAGACCCCTGAAATCTCTTCTTCTAGCCGTGGTAGTCAAAAATAATGGGCAACTGGGGCCTTTTTATACATGACCCTAAGCATGATGGGATGCTAATTGCCTAATTAACTCAGGAACCACACCTGTATGGAAGAACCAGCTTTCAATATTTTTTTGTATTCCTCATTTACTCAAGTGTTTCCTATATTTCGGCAGTTACCCGTAGGTTGGTATCTCTAACGAATGGAAAAACAGAACCGTTTAGGTTAAGAGAGGCAACACAGCCTAAACCTTGGACGTGTCTCAAATCGCACCCTATTCCCTTTATAGTGCACTACTTTTGACCAGATCTCCACGTGCCCTTGGTCAAAAGTAGTGCTCTATATAGGGAATAGGGTGCCATTCTCTGGTCTAAAGTAGTGCACTATATAGGGAATAGGGTGCCATTCTCTGGTCTAAAGTAGTGCACTATAAAGGGAACAGGGTGACCATTTGAGACACGTCCCTTGTTTAGATAGGCAACAAGCTCGGAACGCTAGCTCACCCTGCTCCCATCATCCAATGGATGCTCTGGACCAGAGTATCCCTTAGCAACAGCCAGGAATAATACCCCATAAATGGTATTACCGTCGGTCTAAAAGAGGAAGAGTCATAATCTCTTAACACTCACAAGTGTACAGTAAAGCAGCCTCTAATCTCTTACACTGTCCAGTACAGTATTCCATTACTTTGACAGAAGACGGGGGCCAAGCGAACAGCATCCCATATCTGTTTTGGCCCGGCTCACGAGCGTAAATATTGCTATCAGAATGGCAGCATAGTTTAAGATTCTACACTCCATCCCATATCTGTTTTGGCCCGGCTCACGGGCGTAAATATTGCTATCAGAATGGCAGCATAGTTTAAGATTCTACACTCCATGAACAGGATGGATGAAGGTGCCGTCACACTGCCATTTCTCTCCCTGTTGTAGCGATATCTTAGGGAGGCCTTGGTGAGGAAGTTGAACTGTGATACACACACATCTTTAGGGCATTCAAGTTTCTCCTTAACTCATAGACTTTTCCTCAGTCGATATTTTCCATTTCATCCTAATCTTGTTCCACCACTAAATCGACCTCATGATCCTTCTCTGAGGATGGATTTGACACAGAATCAAAAAAGGTCCACCTCAGCAATTCTTTGTGTTTGTTTTGTTTTGGAGAGAAGCTTGTGACAGACAGCCATCATTCTTCTTCAGTCTCTCTGGAGATTGTATTCATGACACGCTGCTGTTAGTCAATGTGAGAGATTGAGGCTCACAGAGGGCTGTTGACTAGGCTGTCATGTCATACCATGAGAGAGCACCATCATTCTCTTGACTATTGGTGGTCTCCTGGTGTCTATTCGGTCCCCTGGTGTCTATTTGGTCTCCTGGTGTCTATTTGGTCTCCTGGTGTCTATTTGGTCTCCTGGTGTCTATTTGGTCTCCTGGTATCTATTTGGTCTCCTGGTGTCTATTTGGTATCCTGGTGTCTATTTGGTCTCCTGGTGTCTATTTGGTTTCCTGGTGTCTATTTGGTCTCCTGGTGTCTATTTGGTCTCCTGGTGGTCTCCTGGTGTCTATTTGGTCTCCTGGTGTCTATTCTGTCCCCTGGTGTCTATTTGGTCCCCTGGTGTCTATTCTGTCCCCTGGTGTCTATTTGGTCTCCTGGTGTCTATTTGGTCTCCTGGTGTCTATTTGGTCTCCTGGTGTCTATTTGGTCTCCTGGTGGTCTCCTGGTGTCTATTTGGTCTCCCGGTGTCTATTTGGTCTGCTGGTGTCTATTTGGTCTCCTGGTGTCTATTTGGTCTGCTGGTGTCTATTTGGTCTCCTGGTGTCTATTTGGTCTGCTGGTGTCTATTCGGTCCCCTGGTGTCTATTCGGTCTCCTGGATTGAGGCTCACAGGGGCAGTTGACTAGGCTGTCATGTTATGCTGAGAGAACACCATACAATAGTCAAGAGAATGATGATGGTGTCTCTCAGTCTCTCCTATTCTCCCTCTCTTGTCTCTCTCTGTCTCTCCTCTTCTGTCTCTCAGTCTCTCCTCTTCTCCCTCTCTTGTCTCTCCCTCTCTCCTCTTCTCCCTCTCTTGTCTCTCAGTCTCTCCTCTTCTCCCTCTCCTGTCTCTCAGTCTCTCCTCTTCTCCCTCTCTTGTCTCTTTCAGTCTCTCATCTCCTCCCTCTCTTGTCTCTCAGTCTCTCCTCTTCTCCCTCTCTTGTCTCTCTGTCTCTCCTCTTCTCCCTCTCTTGTCTCTTTCAGTCTCTCCTCTTCTCCCTCTCTTGTCTCTCTGTCTCTCCTCTTCTCCCTCTCTTGTCTCTTTCAGTCTCTCCTCTTCTCCCTCTCGTCTCTCAGTCTCTCCTCTTCTCCTTCTCTTGTCTCTCAGTCTCTCCTCTTACCAGAAGGCTTTTCATATACAGAGAAAGAGGCTCCCAGTCAGTTGTTGAAGGGACAGGTAGAGGGTCACTGTCTGTGTGGAAAAAGGACAGAATGATAGAATGCTTTCAGTAAAGTGGTTGGGTTGGGTGCTATTTGTTGACGCAGAGTTGTCAGACACCAACGCCCACTACTATTAACCACTACATGAGTAAATCTAATCCAAGGCTAACTAACCTGCGTCTCCAGTGCAAGCAACAACAGTATTTTACCCCACCTACAGGACTACCATAGACATATATTTAGACCGTTAAAACCATATGATTACATGGACAACTAATGCAACTATAGAGGCTGCAGCAGGCCAGGCATTGCTCATTGTTTTTTGTTTTTGTTTTTTTCAAACCACAAAACCTGTTGTTAGCTCACCTAAACGTGGTGTATGGTTGGGTACTTATCTTACTGTTCTGCTTGTTTTCAGAAAAGTACTCTCTGATTGTAGAACATCAACGACAAATGTTTTTGAAGATGTCTGCAGTTATGAAGATAGACAATATACCTACTTGGCAACAACCGTCTAAAATAATCTGCCCTCCTCCTATGGAAATGCTCTAAACCTCTATGACATGGAAATACAGAGAGGTGGCAGTGGTTATAACCTCTATGGAAATACAGAGAGGGGCAGTAGTTATAACCTCTATGGAAATACAGAGAGGGGGCAGTAGTTATAACCTCTATGGAAATACAGAGAGGGGGCAGCAGTTATAACCTCTATGGAAATACAGAGAGGGGGCAGTAGTTATAACCTCTATGGAAATACAGAGAGCGGGCAGTAGTTATAACCTCTATGGAAATACAGAGAGGGGCAGTAGTTATAACCTCTATGGAAATACAGAGAGGGGGCAGTAGTTATAACCTCTATGGAAATACAGAGAGGGGGCAGTAGTTATAACCTCTATGGAAATACAGAGAGGGGGCAGTAGTTATAACCTCTACGACATGGAAATACAGAGAGGGGGCAGTAGTTATAACCTCTATGGAAATACAGAGAGGGGGCAGTAGTTATAACCTCTATGGAAATACAGAGAGGGGGCAGTAGTTATAACCTCTATGGAAATACAGAGAGGGGGCAGTAGTTATAACCTCTATGGAAATACAGAGAGGGGGCAGTAGTTATAACCTCTATGGAAATACAGAGAGGGGGCAGTAGTTATAACCTCTACGACATGGAAATACAGAGAGGGGGCAGTAGTTATAACCTCTACGACATGGAAATACAGAGAGGGGGCAGTAGTTATAACCTCTATGGAAATACAGAGAGGGGGCAGTAGTTATAACCTCTACGACATGGAAATACAGAGAGGGGGCAGTAGTTATAACCTCTATGGAAATACAGAGAGGGGGCAGTAGTTATAACCTCTATGGAAATACAGAGAGGGGGCAGTGGTTATAACCTCTATGGAAATACAGAGAGGGGGCAGTAGTTATAACCTCTACGACATGGAAATACAGAGAGGGGGCAGTAGTTATAACCTCTATGGAAATACAGAGAGGGGGCAGTAGTTATAACCTCTATGGAAATACAGAGAGGGGGCAGTGGTTATAACCTCTATGGAAATACAGAGAGGGGGCAGTAGTTATAACCTCTATGGAAATACAGAGAGGGGGCAGTAGTTATAACCTCTATGGAAATACAGAGAGGGGGCAGTAGTTATAACCTCTATGGAAATACAGAGAGGGGACAGTAGTTATAACCTCTATGGAAATACAGAGAGGGGGCAGTAGTTATAACCTCTACGACATGGAAATACAGAGAGGGGGCAGTAGTTATAACCTCTATGGAAATACAGAGAGGGGGCAGTGGTTATAACCTCTATGACATGGAAATACAGAGAGGGGGCAGTAGTTATAACCTCTATGGAAATACAGAGAGGGGGCAGTAGTTATAACCTCTACGACATGGAAATACAGAGAGGGGGCAGTAGTTATAACCTCTATGGAAATACAGAGAGGGGGCAGTAGTTATAACCTCTATGGAAATACAGAGAGGGGGCAGTAGTTATAACCTCTATGGAAATACAGAGAGGGGCAGTAGTTATAACCTCTATGGAAATACAGAGAGGGGGCAGTAGTTATAACCTCTATGGAAATACAGAGAGGGGGCAGTGGTTATAACCTCTATGACATGGAAATACAGAGAGGGGGCAGTAGTTATAACCTCTATGGAAATACAGAGAGGGGGCAGTAGTTATAACCTCTACGACATGGAAATACAGAGAGGGGGCAGTAGTTATAACCTCTATGGAAATACAGAGAGGGGGCAGTAGTTATAACCTCTATGGAAATACAGAGAGGGGGCAGTAGTTATAACCTCTATGGAAATACAGAGAGGGGGCAGTAGTTATAACCTCTATGGAAATACAGAGAGGGGGCAGTAGTTATAACCTCTATGGAAATACAGAGAGGGGGCAGTAGTTATAACCTCTATGGAAATACAGAGAGGGGGCAGTAGTTATAACCTCTATGGAAATACAGAGAGGGGGCAGTAGTTATAACCTCTATGGAAATACAGAGAGGGGGCAGTAGTTATAACCTCTATGGAAATACAGAGAGGGGGCAGTAGTTATAACCTCTATGGAAATACAGAGAGGGGGCAGTAGTTATAACCTCTATGGAAATACAGAGAGGGGGCAGTAGTTATAACCTCTATGGAAATACAGAGAGGGGACAGTAGTTATAACCTCTATGGAAATACAGAGAGGGGGCAGTAGTTATAACATTTACATTTACATTTACATTTTAGTCATTTAGCAGACGCTCTTATCCAGAGCGACTTACATATTATTTTTTTTTATACTGGCCCCCTGTGGGAATCGAACCCACAACCCTGGCGTTGCAAACACCATGCTCTATCAACTGAGCTACATCCCTGCCGGCCATTCCCTCCCCTACCCTGGACGACGCTGGGCCAATTGTGCGCCGCCCATGAGTCTCCCGGTCGCGGCCGGCTGCGACAGAGCCTGGATTCGAACCAGGATCTAGTGGCACAGTTTTGCACTGCGATGCAGTGCCTTAGACCACTGCGCCACTCAGGAGTATAACCTCTATGACATGGAAATACAGAGAGGGGGCAGTAGTTATAACCTCTATGGAAATACAGAGAGGGGGCAGTAGTTATAACCTCTATGACATGGAAATACAGAGAGGGGGCAGTAGTTATAACCTCTATGGAAATACAGAGAGGGGGCAGTAGTTATAACCTCTATGGAAATACAGAGAGGAGGCAGTAGTTATAACCTCTATGGAAATACAGAGAGGGGGCAGTGGTTATAACCTCTATGGAAATACAGAGAGGGGGCAGTAGTTATAACCTCTATGGAAATACAGAGAGGGGGCAGTAGTTATAACCTCTATGGAAATACAGAGAGGGGACAGTAGTTATAACCTCTATGGAAATACAGAGAGGGGGCAGTAGTTATAACCTCTATGACATGGAAATACAGAGAGGGGGCAGTAGTTATAACCTCTATGGAAATACAGAGAGGGGGCAGTAGTTATAACCTCTATGGAAATACAGAGAGGGGGCAGTAGTTATAACCTCTATGACATGGAAATACAGAGAGGGGGCAGTAGTTATAACCTCTATGGAAATACAGAGAGGGGGCAGTAGTTATAACCTCTATTGAAATACAGAGAGGGGGCAGTAGTTATAACCTCTATGGAAATACAGAGAGGGGGCAGTAGTTATAACCTCTATGACATGGAAATACAGAGAGGGGGCAGTAGTTATAACCTCTATGGAAATACAGAGAGGGGGCAGTAGTTATAACCTCTATGACATGGAAATACAGAGAGGGGGCAGTAGTTATAACCTCTATGGAAATACAGAGAGGGGGCAGTAGTTATAACCTCTACGACATGGAAATACAGAGAGAGGGCAGTAATTATAACCTCTATGACATGGAAATACAGAGAGGGGGCAGTAGTTATAACCTCTATGGAAATACAGAGAGGGGGCAGTAGTTATAACCTCTATGGAAATACAGAGAGGGGGCAGTGGTTATAACCTCTATGGAAATACAGAGAGGGGGCAGTAGTTATAACCTCTATGGAAATACAGAGAGGGGGCAGTAGTTATAACCTCTACGACATGGAAATACAGAGAGGGGGCAGTAGTTATAACCTCTATGGAAATACAGAGAGGGGGCAGTAGTTATAACCTCTATGGAAATACAGAGAGGGGGCAGTAGTTATCTATGACTGTTCTTTAGAAGACAGGCGCTGTCCATGAGTGTTTAAGGTAGACTGTTCTTTAGAAGACAGGCGCTGTCCATGAGTGTTTAGGGTACTGTTCTTTAGAAGACAGGCACTGTCCATGAGTGTTTAGGGTACTGTTCTTTAGAAGACAGGCACTGTCCATGAGTGTTTAGGGTACTGTTCTTTAGAAGACAGGCACTGTCCATGAGTGTTTAGGGTACTGTTCTTTAGAAGACAGGCGCTGTCCATGAGTGTTTAGGGTACTGTTCTTTAGAAGACAGGCGCTGTCCATGAGTGTTTAGGGTACTGTTCTTTAGAAGACAGGCGCTGTCCATGAGTGTTTAGGGTACTGTTCTTTAGAAGACAGGCGCTGTCCATGAGTGTTTAGGGTACTGTTCTTTAGAAGACAGGCGCTGTCCATGAGTGTTTAGGGTACTGTTCTTTAGAAGACAGGCGCTGTCCATGAGTGTTTAGGGTACTGTTCTTTAGAAGACAGGCGCTGTCCATGAGTGTTTAGGGTACTGTTCTTTAGAAGACAGGCGCTGTCCATGAGTGTTTAGGGTACTGTTCTTTAGAAGACAGGCACTGTCCATGAGTGTTTAGGGTACTGTTCTTTAGAAGACAGGCGCTGTCCATGAGTGTTTAGGGTACTGTTCTTTAGGAGATAAAAGATGAGTCTCGACGGCAGGTTAAATCACCACTCAGAGACTTGGTACTGTCTGCTTGTGCTACGTTTGACCAGGGCCCATTGGGCCATTGGGGACTCGACCTCAGTCTGCGTGCTCCAGTGTTTCAGGCCAGTATAACAGCCACTGTACAGCAGATAAAAGGTTCCTGTCAGGATTAAATATTAGACATATCTTTCATACCATTCTATGGGAATATGTGTTTATACTGATTCAGTGAAGGGGCAACATCATTTACCAGTCCCGTGGCTCATCTGCGGTCTGGATTTCAAACGGAATATTTGGTGTGTATTCCAGGCCAGCCCATATGGAGATACGATTGCAGACCGTAAATCACCTCAAGGTGTCAAGAGACAAAGCTTTTTTGCCCTGATTCTCACAGCTCTGACGGCGCTAATGCCACTCTGGCCTAGATTCAATCAGATCAGGGCGTTAACCTGCGACCGCAGACCCCCAGCAGAGCTGGATGTTTCGGTGGTGTCGGAAGGTGTAACTGCGTTGGCGCCGTCAAATCGGTTGGGCAGCTGCTTCTTGATCGTTGTCGCGAAGCTACACCTCTTCCACTTGAGTTAGAAGCCCAGGAGGAGGAAGTGTAGGCTAAATAAAAAAATGATGATGCTCAAATTGAAAAATCATTCAAGAAAATAAAGAGGATTTGTATGATCCTAATGGAGCTGTGGTTTCCATCTCACGTTCCAGTGTTCACACTGGTTAACAAGGCCGCATGAGAGTTCTGTTCATGTGACTCCGTACAGCCAATGGCGCTGTCCGCTTTAGGTATAACGCTGGGAGCCACTTGTGGATTGGACAGCTCTAATGCAGTTCCGCCCCTCCAATACCGCTATGCAGATGTTGGCAAAAGCGGATCTGATTGGCCCCCGTGTAGCTCAGTTGGTAGAGCATGGCGTTTGCAATGCCAGGGTTGTGGGTTCAATTCCCACGGGGGGGGGGGGGGGGGGGGCAGTATGAAAAATGTATGCACTCACTAACTGTAAGTCGCTCTGGATAAGAGCGTCTGCTAAATGACTAAAAATGTTTTTTTTGTTTTGTTTTTGTTTTATCGAGCCCTGAGTGTTTGATAATCATCATTAGGTTTATGGTCTGCCTGCCTGTTGTGGTCTACCTTACAGTGAGTCATGTAATGGCTGTCTGCTGTGGTCTACTTTACAGTGAGTCACCTAATGGCTGCCTGTTGTGGTCTACTTTACAGTGAGTCATGTAATGGCTGTCTGTTGTGGTCTACCTTACAGTGAGTCATGTAATGGCTGTCTGTTGTGGTCTACTTTACAGTGAGTCATGTAATGGCTACCTGTTGTGGTCTACCTTACAGTGAGTCATGTAATGGCTGTCTGTTGTGGTCTACCTTACAGTGAGTCATGTAATGGCTGTCTGTTGTGGTCTACTTTACAGTGAGTCATGTAATGGCTGCCTGTTGTGGTCTACTTTACAGTGAGTCATGTAATGGCTGTCTGTTGTGGTCTAACTTACAGTGAGTCATGTAATGGCTGTCTGTTGTGGTCTACCTTACAGTGAGTCACCTAATGGCTGCCTGCTGTGGTCTACTTTACAGTGAGTCACCTAATGGCTGCCTGTTGTGGTCTACTTTACAGTGAGTCACCTAATGGCTGTCTGTTGTGGTCTACTTTACAGTGAGTCACCTAATGGCTGTCTGCTGTGGTCTACTTTACAGTGAGTCACCTAATGGCTGTCTGCTGTGGTCTACTTTACAGTGAGTCATGTAATGGCTGCCTGCTGTGGTCTACTTTACAGTGAGTCACCTAATGGCTGTCTGCTGTCGTCTACTTTACAGTGAGTCATGTAATGGCTGTCTGCTGTGGTCTACTTTACAGTGAGTCACCTAATGGCTGCCTGTTGTGGTCTACTTTACAGTGAGTCACCTAATGGCTGCCTGCTGTGGTCTACTTTACAGTGAGTCATGTAATGGCTGTCTGCTGTGGTCTACTTTACAGTGAGTCATGTAATGGCTGTCTGCTGTGGTCTACTTTACAGTGAGTCACCTAATGGCTGCCTGTTGTGGTCTACTTTACAGTGAGTCACCTAATGGCTGTCTGTTGTGGTCTACTTTACAGTGAGTCATATAATGGCTGTCTGCTGTGGTCTACTTTACAGTGAGTCATGTAATGGCTGTCTGCTGTGGTCTACTTTACAGTGAGTCACCTAATGGCTGCCTGTTGTGGTCTACTTTACAGTGAGTCACCTAATGGCTGTCTGCTGTGGTCTACTTTACAGTGAGTCATGTAATGGCTGTCTGCTGTGGTCTACTTTACAGTGAGTCATGTAATGGCTGTCTGCTGTGGTCTACTTTACAGTGAGTCATGTAATGGCTGTCTGCTGTGGTCTACTTTACAGTGAGTCACCTAATGGCTGCCTGTTGTGGTCTACTTTACAGTGAGTCATGTAATGGCTGTCTGTTGTGGTCTACCTTACAGTGAGTCATGTAATGGCTGTCTGTTGTGGTCTACCTTACAGTGAGTCATGTAATGGCTGTCTGCTGTGGTCTACCTTACAGTGAGTCATGTAATGGCTGTCTGTTGTGGTCTACTTTACAGTGAGTCATGTAATGGCTGTCTGTTGTGGTCTACCTTACAGTGAGTCATGTAATGGCTGTCTGCTGTGGTCTACCTTACAGTGAGTCATGTAATGGCTGTCTGAACAAGACTCTTTCTGGACCAGACTGAGTGTTCACTACTGTTCTCCTTATAAGATGCAGGCGGACATCTTTAAATTCTCATCATTGCCTGTACAGTATGTCCTCCATCCACTTTGCACTAAGACGTATGTCCAGCCCTCCAACCCAACAGAGATGATGTCCTCCATCCACTTTGCACTAAGACGTATGTCCAGCCCTCCAACCCAACAGAGATGATGTACTCCCTCCACTTTGCACTAAGACGTATGTCCAGCCCTCCAACCCAACAGAGATGATGTACTCCATCCACTTTGCACTAAGACGTATGTCCAGCCCTCCAACCCAACAGAGATGATGTACTCCCTCCACTTTGCACTAAGACGTATGTCCAGCCCTCCAACCCAACAGAGATGATGTACTCCATCCACTTTGCACTAAGACGTATGTCCAGCCCTCCAACCCAACAGAGATGATGTACTCCATCCACTTTGCACTAAGACGTATGTCCAGCCCTCCAACCCAACAGAGATGATGTACTCCATCCACTTTGCACTAAGACGTATGTCCAGCCCTCCATCCCAACAGAGATTATCCCCTCTGCGTTTCCATAGTTTTTTTCTACTTCAACCCTGCAAACCTCCAAACTCCTTTGTACAGATGATACTTCAGTTTGTATTTCTGATTAGTTCATGTCGCAAAGACATGAATGACTTGCTGAGTAAGTGTCCAAATTGTGTTGCATGAGAGCAATTCATCTATAATTTGCCATGTAATGTCCATTAATAACATTGCTTGGTGAACAGTACATCTTGTTCACCAGAGGCTGAGATATTGTAACCCACTATTGCTGTTGGTCTACTTAAGGAACCATCACATGTTCGTCACATGATCCAATGACACTGAAAGGTCGACCGTAATCTTTAAATTCTTTAGTCATGAGTCGTCAGAGATCTCATCTATTGATGTTTGGATTTTGTCAATAACCGTTTTTAAAAGAATATTCCTGCCACGACAGTTTGACAAGCAGAAGGGTCAAACTGTGTTTTGTTTAGGTTGTGGTGAGTCTGAGGGTCAGATATCTCTTCATGTTGTAGCTATGAGGGTGTACTGTTGACCAGGTATCTCTTCATGTTGTAGCTATGAGGGTGTACTGTTGACCAGGTATCTCTTCATGTTGTAGCTATGAGGGTGTACTGTTGACCAGGTATCTCTTCATGTTGTAGCTATGAGGGTGTACTGTTGACCAGGTATCTCTTCATGTTGTAGATATGAGGGTGTACTGTTGACCAGGTATCTCTTCATGTTGTAGCTATGAGGGTGTACTGTTGACCAGGTATCTGTAGCTATGAGGGTGTACTGTTGACCAGGTATCTGTAGCTATGAGGGTGTACTGTTGACCAGGTATCTGTAGCTATGAGGGTGTACTGTTGACCAGGTATCTCTTCATGCTGTAGCTATGAGGGTGTACTGTTGACCAGGTATCTCTTCATGTTGTAGCTATGAGGGTGTACTGTTGTCCAGGTATCTCTTCATGTTGTAGCTATGAGGGTGTACTGTTGACCAGGTATCTGTAGCTATGAGGGTGTACTGTTGACCAGGTATCTCTTCATGCTGTAGCTATGAGGGTGTACTGTTGACCAGGTATCTCTTCATGCTGTAGCTATGAGGGTGTACTGTTGACCAGGTATCTCTTCATGTTGTAGCTATGAGGGTGTACTGTTGACCAGGTATCTCTTCATGTTGTAGCTATGAGGGTGTACTGTTGACCAGGTATCTGTAGCTATGAGGGTGTACTGTTGACCAGGTATCTGTAGCTATGAGGGTGTACTGTTGACCAGGTATCTGTAGCTATGAGGGTGTACTGTTGACCAGGTATCTGTAGCTATGAGGGTGTACTGTTGACCAGGTATCTGTAGCTATGAGGGTGTACTGTTGACCAGGTATCTCTTCATGTTGTAGCTATGAGGGTGTACTGTTGACCAGGTATCTCTTCATGCTGTAGCTATGAGGGTGTACTGTTGACCAGGTATCTCTTCATGTTGTAGCTATGAGGGTGTACTGTTGACCAGGTATCTCTTCATGTTGTAGATATGAGGGTGTACTGTTGACCAGGTATCTCTTCATGTTGTAGCTATGAGGGTGTACTGTTGACCAGGTATCTCTTCATGTTGTAGCTATGAGGGTGTACTGTTGACCAGGTATCTCTTCATGTTGTAGATATGAGGGTGTACTGTTGACCAGGTATCTCTTCATGTTGTAGCTATGAGGGTGTACTGTTGACCAGGTATCTCTTCATGTTGTAGATATGAGGGTGTACTGTTGACCAGGTATCTCTTCATGTTGTAGATATGAGGGTGTACTGTTGTCCAGGTATCTCTTCATGTTGTAGATATGAGGGTTTAGGGTATTGGCTGCTGCTTGATGGCAGTTTCACAGCTGGCTTCAAGTGACACACGTCCCAAATGGCACCCTATTCCCTATATAGTACACTACGTTTGACCAGAGACCTATGAACAAGATCACAGAGCCTTATAGGCCCTGGTCAAAAGTAGTGCACCATATAGGGAATAGGGTGCCATTTGGAACGCATCCACAGTGCAGTCTAGGTCTGTTTGATGAAAGTGTGTCTCAGCGTGGCTCCAGAGCTGGCTAACGTCACCACAGCCCTCTTCCCAAAGGTCACCTGGCCATGGCGTCAACGGGAGGTAGTCACAGTCACAGTCCATCCACAAGCGCAGACACACACACACACACACACTCTAAGCATGCTGGGACCTGAACAGGAACACAGTATAGGAGAGTTCTTTCAGTGTTCTTGGACTCCGTTAAACATCTCATGAATAGCAGTAGAACTTTCATACACAAGTTGTACATTCATGTATTACCATTCATGTACTACCATTCATGTGCTACCATTCATGTGCTACTGAACACATTTACCCCTCTATAATAACCACATTAACTACTCTACTGACGGAATGAGATCTATATCCATCCAGGATACCTGGGCCAGGTCAATTAGGAAGGCCTGCTCGCTAAAGTGTTTTAGGGAGCGTTTGACAGTGATGAGGGGGTGGTCGTTTGACCGCGGACCCGTTACGGACGCAGGCAATAAGGCAGTGATCGCTGAGATCCTGGTTGAAGACAGCGGAGGTGTATTTAGAGGGTAAGTTAGTCAGGATGATATCTATGAGGGTACCCATGTTTACGGATTTAGGGTTGTACCTGGTAGGTTCCTTGATAATTTGTGTGAGATTGAGGGCATCTAGTTTGGATTGTAGGTTGGCCGGGGTGTTAAGCATATCCCAATTTAGGTCACCAAGCAGTACGAACTCTGAGGATAAATGGGGGGCAATCAATTCACATATGGTGTCCAGGGCACAGCTGGGGGCTGAGGGGGGTCTGTAGCAAGCGGCAACAGTGAGAGACATTTCTGGAAAGGTGGATTTTTAGAAGTAGAAGCTCAAACTGTTTGGGCACAGACCTGGATAGTATGATAGAGCTCTGCAGGCTATCTCTACAGTAGATTGCAACTCAGCCCCCTTTGGCAGTTCTATCTAGACGGAAAATGTTATAGTTGAGGATGGAAATGTCAGAATTTTTTGTGGCCTTCCTAAGCCAAGATTCAGACACTGCTAGAACATCAGGGTTGGTGGAGTGTGCTAACGCAGTGAATAACTCAAACTTAGGAAGGAGACTTCTGATATTAACATGCAAGAAACCAAGGTTTTTACGGTTACAGAAGTCAACAAATGATAGCGCCTGGGGAGTAGGAGTGATACTGAGGGCTGCAGGGCCTGGGTTAGCCTCTACATCACCAGAGGAACAGAGGAGGACTAGAATAAGGATACGGCTAAAGGCTTTAAGAACTGGTCTTCTAGTGCGTTGGGTACAGAGAATAAAGGGGGCAGATTTCCGGGCGTTGTAGAAAAGATTCAGGGCATTATGTACAGACAAGGATATGGAAGGATATGAGTACAGTGGAGGTAAACCTAAGCGTTGGGTAACGATGAAAGAGATAGCATCACTGGAGGCACCGATTGAGTCGGTCTCCGCGTGTATGGGGGGGTGGGACAAAGGAGCTATCTAAGGCTGGTTTACAAAAGACACCTGTCCACAGAAGCAATCAATCAATCAGATTCCAAACTCTCCACCATGGCCAAGACCAAAGAGCTCTCCAAGGATGTCAGGGACAAGATTGTAGACCTACACAAGGCTGGAATGGGCTACAAGACCATCGCCAAGCAGCTTGGTGAGAAGGTGACAACAGTTGGTGCGATTATTCGCAAATGGAAGAAACACAAAATAACTGTCAATCTACCTCGGCCTGGGGCTCCATGCAATATCTCACCTCATGGAGTTGCAATGATCATGAGAACGGTGAGGAATCAGCCCAGAACTACACGGGAGGATCTTGTCAATGATCTCAAGGAAGCTGGGACCATAGTCACCAAGAAAACAATTGGTAACACACTATGCCGTGAAGGACTGAAATCCTGCAGCGCCCGCAAGGTCCCCCTGCTCAAGAAAACACATATACATGCCCGTCTGAAGTTTGCCAATGAACATCTGAATGATTCAGAGGAGAACTGGGTGAAAGTGTTGTGGTCAGATGAGACCAAAATGGAGCTCTTTGGCATCAACTCATCTCGCCGTGTTTGGAGTAGGAGGAATGCTGCCTATGACCCCAAGAACACCATCCCCACCATCAAACATGGAGGTGGAAACATTATGCTTTGGGGGTGTTTTTCTGCTAAGGGGACAGGACAACTTTACCGCATCAAAGGGACAATGGACGGGGCCATGTACCGTCAAATCTTGGGTGAGAACCTCCTTCCCTCAGCCAGGGCATTGAAAATGGGTCGTGGATGGGTATTCCAGCATGACAATGACCCAAAACACATGGCCAAGGCAACAAAGGAGTGGCTCAAGAAGAAGCACATTAAGGTCCTGGAGTGGCCTAGCCAGTCTCCAGACCTTAATCCCATAGGAAATTTGTGGAGGGAGCTGAAGGTTCGAGTTGACAAACGTCAGCCTCGAAACCTTAATGACTTGGAGAAGATCTGCAAAGAGGAGTGGGACAAAATCCCTCCTGAGATGTGTGCGGACCAGGTGGCCAACTACAAGAAATGTCTGACCTCTGTGATTGCCAACAAGTACTAAGTAATGTTTTGCAGAGGGGTCAAATACTTATTTCCCTCATTAAAATGCAAATCAATTTATAACATTTTTGACATGCGTTTTTCTGGATTTTTGTTGTTGTTATTCTGTCTCTCACTGTTCAAATAAACCTACCATTAAAATTATAGACTGATCATTTCTTTGTCAGTGGGCAAACGTACAAAATCAGCAGGGGATCAAATACTTTTTTCCCCTCACATCAGTCATCTAACAGACCCCCATCCAGAGCCACCCACAGAAGCAGCCAGTGGCTTAACCTTGGTCAGGGAACGGCCCTGCTATCATGATGTGCTCATTGTATTGTTGACAGGAGTCTGTCATAACACCACGTTTTGTGTGAGTCATTTCTAAACTAAAGTATCACAGTCACTTTACACAATACCGTCAGGTAATGACTCCAATTACTCCACTCGTAAACGGTGCGGTTTCCCTGTTGTATTGGTGACCGGTCGTTTCATAAAACACAACCATTGTGCGTGGGTTATTCCGAAGCATTACAGCCATGACACACACAGGCTAATTACCAGGATAATGGTAGATAACGGCAGCCCAAATAACAGGCGGAAACTGAGCCAAATCAGAGACACAGACAGCTTCAGAGGGGACTGTGGTCAGACGTAGGCTCTAGGGTGTCATTTGGGGACAGCTTCAGAGGGGACTGTGGTCAGACGAAGGCACCAGGGTGTCATTTGGGGACAGCTTCAGAGGGGACTGTGGTCAGACATAGGCACCAGGGTGTCATTTGGGGACAGCTTCAGAGGGGACTGTGGTCAGACGAAGGCACCAGGGTGTCATTTGGGGACAGCTTCAGAGGGGACTGTGGTCAGACGAAGGCACCAGGGTCTCATTTGGGGACAGCTTCAGAGGGGACTGTGGTCAGACGAAGGCACCAGGGTCTCATTTGGGGACAGCTTCAGAGGGGACTGTGGTCAGACGAAGGCACCAGGGTCTCATTTGGGGACAGCTTCAGAGGGGACTGTGGTCAGACGAAGGCACCAGGGTCTCATTTGGGGACAGCTTCAGAGGGGACTGTGGTCAGACGAAGGCACCAGGGTGTAATTTGGGGACAGCTTCAGAGGGGACTGTGGTCAGACGAAGGCACCAGGGTGTCATTTGGGGACAGCTTCAGAGGGGACTGTGGTCAGACGAAGGCACCAGGGTGTCATTTGGGGACAGCTTCAGAGGGGACTGTGGTCAGACGAAGGCACCAGGGTCTCATTTGGGGACAGCTTCAGAGGGGACTGTGGTCAGACGAAGGCACCAGGGTGTAATTTGGGGACAGCTTCAGAGGGGACTGTGGTCAGACGTAGGCACCAGGGTCTCATTTGGGGACAGCTTCAGAGGGGACTGTGGTCAGACGTAGGCACCAGGGTCTCATTTGGGGACAGCGTCAGAGGGGACTGTGGTCAGACGAAGGCACCAGGGTGTCATTTGGGGACAGCTTCAGAGGGGACTGTGGTCAGACGAAGGCACCAGGGTGTCATTTGGGGACAGCTTCAGAGGGGACTGTGGTCAGACGAAGGCACCAGGGTGTCATTTGGGGACAGCTTCAGAGGGGACTGTGGTCAGACGAAGGCACCAGGGTGTCATTTGGGGACAGCTTCAGAGGGGACTGTGGTCAGACGAAGGCACCAGGGTGTCATTTGGGGACAGCTTCAGAGGGGACTGTGGTCAGACGTAGGCACCAGGGTGTCATTTGGGGTGCACCATGATCTTATCATAAAGGAAGTGGATGTTGTTGATCTACAGTCAAACGCTACAATGACAAGAGGTTAGTGAGATAAGCCTGATGGATGACAGTTGGTTGTTATGACAACCCTGTAGAGAGACCGACTCATTATAGGTCACATCGCTGTCTGATTTGGACAGGGGGGTCAGAGGTTAGATATACACCGTGACGAAGATAGAGAGCTCTCAGTATTAACATACAGATTAACAATATCACTCTGGAGAGAGAGAGAGAGAGAGAGAGAGAGAGAGAGAGAGACAGAGAGAGAGAGAGAGAGAGAGAGGAGAGAGAGAGAGAGAGAGAGAGAGAGAGAGAGTGGAGCGAGAGGAGCGAGAGAGAGAGAGAGAGAGGGGGTAGAGAGAAACAGAGAAAGATGAAGAGATTCTCCACCTCAGTGTGTCATCTTTGCTCGTATTCATTGTGGAAGCAATGATAATCTGTACTGAATGCAGAGCAGGATTGAGCTGAATGTGGTCATCTATACTGAATGCAGCGCAGGATTGAGCTGAATGTGGTCATCTATACTGAATGCAGCGCAGGATTGAGCTGAATGTGGTCATCTATACCGAATGCAGCGCAGGGTTGAGCTGAATGTGGTCATCTATACTGAATGCAGCACAGGGTTTAGCTGAATGTGGTCATCTATACTGAATGCAGCACAGGGTTGAGCTGAATGTGGTCATCTATACTGAATGCAGCGCATGATTGAGCTGAATGTGGTCATCTATACTGAATGCAGCGCAGGGTTGAGCTGAATGTGGTCATCTATACTGAATGCAGCACAGGGTTGAGCTGAATGTGGTCATCTATACTGAATGCAACGCAGGGTTGAGCTGAATGTGGTCATCTATACTGAATGCAGCACAGGGTTGAGCTGAATGTGGTCATCTATACTGAATGCAGCGCAGGGTTGAGCTGAATGTGGTCATCTATACTGAATGCAGCGCAGGGTTGAGCTGAATGTGGTCATCTATACTGAATGCAGCGCAGGATTGAGCTGAATGTGGTCATCTATACTGAATGCAGCGCAGGGTTGAGCTGAATGTGGTCATATATACTGAATGCAGCACAGGGTTGAGCTAAATGTGGTCATCTATACTGAATGCAGCGCATGATTGAGCTGAATGTGGTCATCTATACTGAATGCAGCGCAGGGTTGAGCTGAATGTGGTCATCTATACTGAATGCAGCACAGGGTTGAGCTGAATGTGGTCATCTATACTGAATGCAGCACAGGGTTGAGCTGAATGTGGTCATCTATACTGAATGCAGCGCAGGGTTGAGCTGAATGTGGTCATCTATACTGAATGCAGCGCAGGGTTGAGCTGAATGTGGTCATCTATACTGAATGCAGCGCACGGTTGAGCTGAATGTGGTCATCTATACTGAATGCAGCGCAGGATTGAGCTGAATGTGGTCATCTATACTGAATGCAGCGCAGAGTTGAGCTGAATGTGGTCATATATACTGAATGCAGCACAGGGTTGAGCTGAATGTGGTCATCTATACTGAATGCAGCGCAGGGTTGAGCTGAATGTGGTCATGTGTACTGAATGCAGCGCAGGGTTGAGCTGAATGTGGTCATCTATACTGAATGCAGCGCACGGTTGAGCTGAATGTGGTCATCTATACTGAATGCAGCACAGGGTTGAGCTGAATGTGGTCATCTATACTGAATGCAGCACAGGGTTGAGCTGAATGTGGTCATCTATACTGAATGCAGCACAGGGTTGAGCTGAATGTGGTCATCTATACTGAATGCAGCGCAGGATTGAGCTGAATGTGGTCATCTATACTGAATGCAGCGCAGGGTTGAGCTGAATGTGGTCATCTATACTGAATGCAGCACAGGGTTGAGCTGAATGTGGTCATCTATACTGAATGCAGCGCAGGGTTGAGCTGAATGTGGTCATGTGTACTGAATGCAGCGCAGGGTTGAGCTGAATGTGGTCATCTATACTGAATGCAGCGCACGGTTGAGCTGAATGTGGTCATGTGTACTGAATGCAGCGCACGGTTGAGATGAATGTGGTCATCTATACTGAATGCAGCGCAGGATTGAGCTGAATGTGGTCATCTATACTGAATGCAGCGCAGGGTTGAGCTGAATGTGGTCATCTATACTGAATGCAGTGCAGGGTTGAGCTGAATGTGGTCATCTATACTGAATGCAGCGCAGGATTGAGCTGAATGTGGTCATCTATACTGAATGCAGCGCACGGTTGAGCTGAATGTGGTCATCTATACTGAATGCAGCACAGGGTTGAGCTGAATGTGGTCATCTATACTGAATGCAGCACAGGGTTGAGCTGAATGTGGTCATCTATACTGAATGCAGCGCAGGGTTGAGCTGAATGTGGTCATCTATACTGAATGCAGCGCAGGATTGAGCTGAATGTGGTCATCTATACTGAATGCAGCGCAGGGTTGAGCTGAATGTGGTCATATATACTGAATGCAGCACAGGGTTGAGCTGAATGTGGTCATCTATACTGAATGCAGCGCAGGGTTGAGCTGAATGTGGTCATGTGTACTGAATGCAGCGCAGGGTTGAGCTGAATGTGGTCATCTATACTGAATGCAGCGCACGGTTGAGCTGAATGTGGTCATGTGTACTGAATGCAGCGCAGGGTTGAGCTGAATGTGGTAATGTGTACTGAATGCAGCGCAGGGTTGAGCTGAATGTGGTCATCTATACTGAATGCAGCGCAGGGTTGAGCTGAATGTGGTCATCTATACTCAATGCAGCGCAGGGTTGAGCTGAATGTGGTCATGTGTACTGAATGCAGCGCAGGGTTGAGCTGAATGTGGTCATCTATACTGAATGCAGTGCAGGGTTGAGCTGAATGTGGTCATCTATACTGAATGCAGCGCAGGGTTGAGCTGAATGTGGTAATGTGTACTGAATGCAGCGCAGGGTTGAGCTGAATGTGGTCATCTATACTGAATGCAGCGCAGGGTTGAGCTGAATGTGGTCATCTATACTCAATGCAGCGCAGGGTTGAGCTGAATGTGGTCATCACCACATGATTCTTTATCAAAGCTGGAGCCGCCATCTTGTGGCGCTGCCTGGTACTGCATACTGATATCCTCAGAACACTGGTAACAGCAGCAAGAGAAGTAGAATAGCTGAGCTGCCAGACGTAGCATGCTAAAATAACAGCTGTAATGACAGAAGGCAGTCTCCTTATGCAGCCAGCCTCTGCTGCAAATCAACACTAACAGCAGGACTTGAGACAGTGTGGCTGGCTGGTATACTGGCTAACAGACCGACGCTGCCAACCACTTCTAAAGCCCTACAACAAAATAACGCAGGGAGAGAGAAGAGAGAGAGGAGAGAGAGAGCGAGCAGCGAGAGGAGAAGAGAGAGACGAGGAGCGAGCGAGCGAGAGGAGAGCGAGGAGAGAGATGCGAGAGAGGAGGAGCGAGAGAGAGAGAGAAGCGAAGAGGAGAGATGACGGCAGAGAGGGTCCAGATCGAGAGAGAGAGAGAGCGCGAGAGAGGAGAGATCAAGAGAGAGAGCGTAGCGCGAGAGACTAGAGAGGAGTAGAAGAGAGAGGATAGAAGCTATGAGATCTGAAAAGGGGGGG